AATGATCAAAAGCCACCTTTAAACAGAGAGTCTATATAGGTAGTTTTCTGAATGTTATTTAAATCCTACACACAACCACTGCCCTAAAGGTAAATAAAATTTCAAACATATATTGAAATAATTGGATATTGGATACGACCCTATATTTTTTAAGTTGTTACAAAAAAAAAATACACGTCCACATTCAGCATATAGACATCAAAGCAGATAGAAATACTGTTCAGCACACAGTCTATACACAATACTCAAAGAAGGTAAATAAAAACTAGAATATGGTTTCGAAGACATTACAGTTTCATTCAATTCTCAGGGTTGCGACTGTTGAAAAATTTATTTTACCGTTTAACTTTTTTTTTCTTTCTGGTGTGTTCAGTTTGGTAAAAAAATAATTATATTATCTTTATTCTTTTTTTTTTCTTTCTTCTTTGTACGGTCCAGTTAAATAAATGTACATTAAATTTAAATAAGAAGTTACTTACTGTTTAGAGTAAACTAATTTTTTTAATTAATTTATTTGCACTTGAAAATTCAAGCCCCTAGATAATTTCAGATACTTGTTGTGCACATTTCTAATAATTTAAAGAAAAGACATCTTAAATATTGTAAAATGGATGTAAGAATAGTATGGCTTTTCAGAGTAAAATTTGAGCTGACACAAATATATATTGTTGTACATCTTAAAGATCGTAAATGAAAATACATACACAATTAAAATAAATTGACTGTCTTTATCTATTTTAATATTACTTTTAATTTTATAGAAGGATAAAACTTGATCACTCTATCTACTGCTTGAGATCCTGACTTTTGACGGAAAAAAGAATATACTAACTTGTATCTGAGCTAGACAGGCACATTTTGATACTCGAAAACTCTTTCATGCAGAACGTTTTAATATTTGACAGCTTTGCCGTAAACGTTCAATAAAATAAATCTACAACTGTCGCTGTTGAGGTACTCTACTTCACCTGTTTCATGTACAGTATAGCCTGTGGCGGTAGCAATGTGTTGTAGTTATCTTGTTGTCAATTTAATTCGATCTGTTATAAACCTTTTTCTCTTAACAGCAAAGGAACTGCATACATTTTAGAAACTGATGTAGGCTAAAACATAGAAAAGGGATTTTGAAGAAAAGACTGCAAGCAACCGTTAGTGATGCAAACATTTACTTAATCTTACCCAAGAACGTGGACTAGCATTCACATATTTTAAACATGTAGGCCTATTTTGCAAGCTGGCTGATGAATTAAAAACATTTTTATTGAGTAATTAAAAATTAATGAAAAATTAAATTTAATTAAACAGGGAAACAACTATGTAAATATTTTTCATTCAATCTTTATTTCATTGTTACTTCCCTTTGACCATAAAATAGTTTTTCCCAAGAGATCGCATTTTTTATAGGTTAGTTTTGTCCAAGAATGGTTATTTCATACATTTGTTTTATCGTTTAAATCAAATTATTTAACAGAGAGTAAACTCATGAAGCAGAAAGAGACCTTAATTCATCTTCATGCTATACCGAAAATGTATCGATATTCGAACCTAAGTAGATTTGGTGTAACAGTTGTGTATAACATTGTGTTACATATTTTATTTATAATGACCAGCAAGTAACGCTAACTTGCATATAATGCGGTAAATTCGGCAGAGAAAGTCGAGTTCATGTGTTGGTGTTATACCGATGACTTAGTACATCACTGAGTCCACACGGAACAACCAGCCGAATTATGTTTCTACAAACATGTCCAGGTACACATAAGATTTGTCCATCAAGAAAGGTAATCGAACCTGGGAATCAAACTCGTGTTCTTGGGGATGAAATGCGTCTTCTCTTTTACACGACCATGTCGTCCCATTTCTCCAGTTGCTTATTAACGCCCTGCTTTACAGTTTTCATGTTTGAAAAATTTGATTCAATGTTTTAAAATCAAACTTGTTGTCCTATCACTGCCAATCAATTAACCTCTACAAAGGTTGTTTTATAATATCACAGTCAATGATTGTTAAAAGATTTCTAGTCAATTAGAATGACAGCAATGTTTACACAAATGTCAGTCATTGACAGCATCAAACTACTTTTTCATTTCTATAGGAGCAGGTCTAGAAGCGACGAAGTTATTTAACTATAGCATGCGATGTGTTAAATATTTTTAGATGATTAGAATTCGACATTTTTTCTAATTATCTCATTTAAATTAGTCTTACCTGTGTATTAAACATAGACAAACGGACTTTGTTGTAAAGTTTAAACTTACAACCCATGACAGCCAGGTGCGAACTTCGACGACATCACAACATGCTCTGTTTGACAACAACTTAAACACCAACAGACAACAAATATTAAAATAACAACAGTAGAAAGATATTTTATTTTACCATTTAATGTCGTTTAGTGTGAACATTTTGTAAACAAAAACAAACAGTCTGAATATGACATTTTGTAGGTAGGTTACATTTTATTTACAGGTAATAGCCAGCCTATAGGTAGATCTATATGACAACAATTTGCCGACAAAAGTTATAAGAAAAATATTTACAACATTTGAAACAAATAAACTCTAAAATCTATCAATGTACATGCAAATTAATAAGGTTAAACGGTTTACATCAATTAAAACATTTGTTTTAATCATTTAAATGTGATAAAATGTTTACAAGACATGCAGGTCTTAACACAGTTTAATGACGGGGAAGGTTCCGCCATTTTGTTTGTTTACATTGTGTAGACAAGGGGAGAGAACTAACAGTTACATCAGTCTCACCACTCCCCACTATAATTTCCTTCAGAGTTTGATCCACTGTGGGGATGGGGAGACGTACGCCACCCGTCATACCCCAGCATGTAGACAGACGCTCCACTGGAGCCAGGACATGTACATGTTGTGTACCAGTACCTGGTCTCGTCATCCCTCTCACGTTTGTGTGTCCATCGTCCTACAGAAACCTGTTTAGGACAGCCATGAGGATGTGACACTATAACGGTCAACTTGTCCAAATCAACACATCTCCTGTATTTGTCCGTTACTTCCTTACATAGATCATAAAAGCGCCAAAACATCTTGTCCAGTTCATCAACCAACTCTAAGTCACATGTCACATAACTCAACTCACAACAGTCTCCCTCAATGTCTGTCCTACCCCTCACCTCCCAGCCATCAAGACTGACCACTGGACTTTTATTGTCATCAAAACCTACAACACACCTGGTCTGTCTCGCCTCACTGTCATCAAACACCACATGTGTGGCTGTCAACACACGAACATCCCCCCACACTTTGCTGGGTGTGGCAGAGACTTGACACTTGGCACAACGACAAGTTTTTCTGTCACTCTCTGTGTACTTGTTCACATTCCACACCCTCCCCGTCCCTAACCTCATCACGTGACTTCCCCTGTTATTATAACATGGATATGGAACTTGAGTGCCTGGGTAAAACTCTGGTCTCTCTAGACTGGTGAATTTAGTCTTTACCTGGACAGTTAGGGCTGCCAATGTTTTGATTGTGTCAGACATGAGGTCGTGGTCATGGTAACGTAAGGGGAGACAATTTGAATTGAAATCTTTAAGAGGTATAAAACCTTTGTGACCTGGATTCTTCATACAGCCAGTAACATGTTTGTGTAGATCAGCTTCTCCTCCATAGCACATCTCAGCTTCATGATTTCCTACAGGAACAAACAACAATATATTTCTCTAGCAAAGAGAATGTTAGTGATGAAATGTTAAAAAAAATGTTTTAATAAGTCGTACTAAAGTCATCTAGATGTTTAAACTAGGGCATATATATATTCTCTTACATTGTATTTGACTTATACTTTAGTGTATCTTACCTGGACAAAACACACCAGGTTGGTCATTCATTTTATTCTTATTTTGACTTTCATAGCATGCAAGATCTGAAAGCAGTGAAAGAGAATGATACGTTTTCATAAACAGTATTAGGTAATAATATAATTGCATTGAAAACAGAGGAACATTTAAAATGCAGATACATACAATTGCTGACTTCAAAACAGTATGTAATACAGAAAAAACTTCTATACATACATTACACCTTAATTTAATTGGTTAACTGTATTGCTAGATACGAATGAACATATAGCTCTACATTTTAAAATTAAATTACCTGCCCATTTTAGAGCGATTAAACGGGACATTATTTCTTACATGTAGGCCTACCAGGTGATTTGATGAGGTTGTCGTCAAGGCAACGTGAAGTGAGACAAATTTTGTTGAAATCTTTAAGAGGTATAAAACCTTCGTGACCTGGATTCTTCATACAGCCAGTAACATGTTTGTGTAGATCAGCTTCTCCTCCATAGCACATCTCAGGTTCATGATTTCCTGCAAGAACAAATAATTTATGTCTCTAGAAAAGTAAATGCTATATATAATATTAAACTTCTTTTTATTTAAATAAACATTACTAAAGCTATCTAGATGTTATACTAGCACAGATATTTAATTGTTTACATTTTAATTGCCTTTTGCCTTAGTATATCATACATGGAAGGAATACACCTGATTCGACAGACATTATTTGTCTATTCTGAATTTCACAGCTTGCCACAACTGAAATAATGTAGACATTAAATGTCTATCTTGCAGTAACACATAATTCCACACATGCCATGTATATAATAGAAAATCAAGTATATTTTACATATTATTATTTTGACATATTTCCACATTTTGATTTTTCTACTATGTCTTTAAATTTAATATTTAATTGCCCTTTGGTTAATATTATGTTGTTAATATTTCTTTAAAACAGCCAATGTGAAAAGAGGCCTCTGTACCTACTGTTAATGTTTTTAAATAAAGCTATGCTTAATATTATTACATTTATTTAAACAGCAGACAAATGTTTTAACTGTACAGCTTGATAAGCAATAACAGATGATTTAAGAATTGTAAAATAAATTACCTGACCCTTTTAAAGTGAATTTTAAGTCAACATTTTTCTTACCTGAACTGGATGACTCCTGTTTTCTTTTGGCTTTATGTAGGAATTGTCACTGGCTAATGCTGCTGTAATATAAAAAAGTAACATTATATACCAGTGATAATCTTTAAAGTATATATACATATCTTAAGAGTTGTATTAATTCTAAAAAGGTTATATTATAAGAAATTGAAAACAAATGTAAGCTTCTAAATAAATTGAATTATCTAACATTTATTAACATTTTTACTTTCTCGTATATACGAAGTATAGAGAAAGTCTTGTAATCGTGCAAAAAAAAATCGAGTTTTTTGCAAATCTCGAAGTTTTACATCTCACTGATACGGAAAAACATAATTTTGCAATCTTGTCCGTATGTCTGTGTGTCTGTCTGTGTGTGTGTGTGTGTCCGTGTATAAACACGATAACTTGAGTACCGTTACAGATAGGTTGATGAAATTTCATATGTAAGTATTTTATCAAAATCGTAGATCCGTATCAACTTTTGAGCGATTTCCGATAAACGGAAGCGGAACTTTTTCTACTTTGAATTTTTCAAAAGCCTATAACATCTGTACTATTGCAGATAGATAAATGAAATTTGATATGTAAGTAAAAGAACTAATTCTCTACCTTCTGTCAAATTTTGAGTAATTTCCGTTGACCGGAAGTACTTATTTACGCTATTTCTGATTTCTCAAAAAACGCATGTAAATTTATAAAGTACTAAATATATTGCGCACTATTATGCACATCTTTATTTAGCGATCACTTGGTGTGCATTTCTTTTTTCTACGAGATTATATTCTATTTTTTAAAATTTGAGTATTTAAAATGGATTAAAAATCATGTCTAGAAGTCTATATCCCGAGTTGCCATCCCCCGTAGTGTTATATTAGAATATTCGAGAAAGTTTAGAGGAGATCACTCCCGGTTTATTACAAAATTAAATATAGCTTACAATATTTACACAGCTTGACCACTTTAATGTTGTCCTTAAAGAAAACCTCTTTTCTTGCTAGGAATATAGGCCTAAGCTTTGATCACACAGCAGCTGCAAAAAAAAACTTCAACACCTGAAAGCATACAATTAAGTACTAAGGTTACATAAACACTACACAGCACCCTTTAAACTATAAAAGTATTATAAAGTAATGAAATCATGTGATTAACTCAAGATTGTGTTAAGAAACATAACAAACTTTACATATACAAGTAGTTATTTCATTATAGATCAATAGCTACTGACTCAAAAGTCTCCAGTTCAAATCTGCATCGAAGTCAAAAGAAGTAAAACTACTAGTCACTCTCTTTATAGATTACAGATTTCGATTAATCTAGATTAGAAATTAGGGCGAATTTTTATACTTGTGTCTGATAATCATGGAATCTCCTTTAAAAAAGGTGTGTAGGTTACTGGTAGTTAACTTAAATAAACACATTGTTGGCTAATGTCAATGCTAACCCTGTCCCTAACCCTGGTCCTACCATTAGCCTAACTAAATTCTAGCCATAAAATTAGTCGAGATTTTAATACTGTCAATACTACTAACAACCCAACACACCTATTTTATGGAAGAGTCTATTATTCTACATCAATATCTAAAATAAAATTATCCAAAATTAGATTAGCTACACTTTAAAGTTTAGACTTTCAAAGTGTAAATTCTAGATCTAAATTTAAATCTAGTCTAGATCTAGGCAGTTTTTTCATGTAGTCCCAAAGATCTAGACTTAGATCTAGAGCGTAGACCCAGACTCAAGTGTTGATTTAGATCTAGATATTAGATCTAGAAGTCTAGATAGAATCTATCTGTTCTAGATCTATCTAGTTTTAAAAGAAGCTTTGTTTTAACTAGATCTAGAGATAGTAGAGACAGACATCCTAAAATTACTCTAGAATCTAGATCTAGACTCTAGATGCTAGGGCCCATGAAGGGTGTGGGGAAATTGCGAGACGCGAAAAGCGAAATGGCGAGGCGGGAAAATGCGAGAAGGTAATGCGAGACATACCTGCGGAATTAAGGGTAAATAGCGAGACAATTTTTGCGAAAAAAGTTTTTTCCTTTTTTTTCCAACTTTATTTATTTCAATTATTTTTTTTAATATTTTAAAAATAAACAAGCATTTAACCATACCATTTAACACGAGTATTGTATGTTGTTATTTTTTATCTAGATACTAAGAAGATAGATAGATCTATATCTAGATCTATCTATTTAAAAATCCTAACATGTTTATACAACCGTGACCTGTGTCATTGTGAATTGGTATGTCAGCAGGAGATATATTTTGCAACATCTATTTATGGATTTTTGTACTTGCAAAAAGTGTAAAAATATAAACAATTCTAAAAAGTGCAATTTATTTTTTTATTAAGTAATTTTAATTACAAACAAAATTTACAAACAAAATCTTCTGAAACAGTCCTCAAACACACCTCGTGACACCATCTTTCACACATAGTACACCCAACCCAGTTCATTAGACTCCCATTTATACATTTTTCTTTTGCTACTTCTTCCAATCCACATTCACAACATTTCACATTCTCATCACAGTTGACCTCCTCGTTCATCCCACAAACAACACTGGCACCCATGTTCTCATCATCATCATCCGCACGCTCAACATCTGTTTTCCGTTTTTTATAATTTGTATTTTTTATCATTTCTGTAATTTTGGCAATGTCTTGCTCATTGTTGTCACCAGCAGTTGAGTTTTTTTTAAACATCGATATTTTCCCAAAATCTTGTCTAATTTCGGTCAAAATAGAGTATTTTAATCAATTCCTATTACAATGTATTAAAACAGTTTTCTAAAACGCGAAAAAACGTCTAAAATTCTTTTTCTAACATTGCTTTTTTATAGTGTGACTTCACATCTACCCCCCCCCCCCTCCTCCCCCTCATCACACATCGTCATAAAATTACAGACCCCCCCCCCCCCCCTACGAGTTTGACGTCATTTATGGAAGACCCCAAATAACACCACCACCAAAACCAAAAAATTCAGATAAGTTCAACTTGGTTTTAAAAATATTTGAAGTAGGCCCATAGCTTACGATATAGCACGAGCAACTGATAATATCGGTGACGTCACTTTATTTTGTTGTATCCAAATGATGTAGGCATTTCCTTGTGCTTAGATTTATATGGTAAAAAAGCTAGAAAAAAATCGTAGGCGGCGGCTATAATACAAAATTTCTATGCAACAATAGAAAATATGTTTGCGGCGGCAGCGGATCCGGGCACGGCGATCTTCAAAGACGGTAAATCAGGCGGCCTCGGCGTTCCACACAAAAGACAGAAGTTGATCTATCGTCGGCGGTATTTCCGTCGGTTTCGAACAAGGTGGTATTCTAAGTCGACACAAAAGATGGGGGGAGTTGACAAATCATCAGTATGTCTAGCGACGGAAAAATCGGAAGTTTTAACAATGTAAACGAAACGTCTTTGAAGTCTGGACCAAATACCACTGAAAATCGGATGCGGTAAATTTTTCGCAGAAATCTTCGCATTTCAACACCACCCAGCGTAAGTATCGGCTTGTGGTAAAATGCGAGACAAAATAGTCACGTGACCGACCGTTTTCGCGCCCTTCTCGCATTTTCCCGCCTGGCCATTTCGCTTTTCGCGTCTCGCAATTTCCCCACACCCGCCCATGAATGAGATAATAATGTTTAGGCTCTAAATTCTAAATTGAACAAGTTATTCTAGTATCTAGATCTACTACTATCTACTAATCTAGACTAGTAGTTAGTTCTAGATCTAGAATCTATAGTCTAGAACAGGGGTCTCCAAACTTTTCCGCCCGAGGGCCGCATTAACTATCAAATATAAGTTCGGGGGCCAGAGTTTCTTCCGGGCATCTCTTTGGGGTGGCATTTGTCTTCAGCCACCTACAACAAACACTTTTTTTTTCGGTGGTCAAAAAGATCTCCGAGGGCCGGATAGGAGGACGTCGTGGGCCGCATCCGGCCCGCGGGCCGTAGTTTGGAGATCCCTGGTCTAGAATCTAGACTAGAGATTCTAGATTTTATAGACTACTCTTAGACTCTAGATTTCTAATCAATTTCAGTACTACCGTAGTGTTGAGTATTGAGTCTCAGTATTCTGAGTGAGTATAGTTACTAGTAATCCTAGATCTAGATCTAGATCTAGATCTAGATTTCCATACTAGATTCTAGACTCTAGATCTAGATCTATAAGTATTATAATCTATTATAGATTTTAGTTATTAGTTATTAGGTAGTTATTAGATCTAAGGATTCTAAGAGTAAGAGATAGCTAGTTAAGTATAATTTGCACAACGCCGGTCTGCCTGATGGAAGGAGTAGAACTATCGTCTGCTGTAAAAATGGTTTTTCTTAGACGGTCTCGATAATAATATTAATTAAGCATCGATCACTATTTTTATACTGGTGTGATTACTCTGAACAATGGGAATGGGCCTAGACTTTAAATAAAATAAAGGAAACAAAAAGCTTTACAATTGAATTCTCGTATATTGTAATTATATTTCAAAGTATGAATATATATGTGTGGATAAAGTCCGATTATGTTTCTAAGTACAGAGACCAACATTTATTTTAGTATCGAAATGGTCCAGATTAACATTGGCTAGATTGCATCATTTTCGGCAAGTGTCGACCAAATATATTTTTCCCAAATTTCGACTAAAGAAATAGTAGACTTAATATATTTACATCTCAGAATAATAGTTTTTTATTGACACATTTTGTAGTAATTGTTTAATGCATATCAAACATGTTATTTATAAAACTTAAATAAATAAGATCTATCATCTTCTTTAAACCTTACTTAACCAAGTTCTAGTGCCGATTGATTAAAATTTTATTATCATTAAAAAGGCAACCATCCAAAAACATATTAGATTTTATCGCCACAATCGAACTATTTATTTTCACAATATTAATACATTTATAAGATTTTTTATAGAATCCATATTTTAATGTTACTATTTAGCTTATTTAAAACCAGGTTATTTTTCTGCAACCTGTGAAAAATTAAGGGTCCCGTAAAATTAAAAATACTGATGCGCTAAAACGTGATAATTAATTACA